TCCTTCATTCTATTTTTTCCATCGAACTGGCCTCTTCGTTGACGCTTCATGGAAAGTTGCGAGCTTTGGGCCAATTGGAAGTCTCACTGGCGAATTTTTACCTCCAAAGTTCAGTTGGAAACTCAATTAAGCGAAACGACCGGCGCGCAAAGTGAACGAAATATTTCAGAAAAGAGACACAAACATCTGGAACTTTGGGCGCGGTGTGTACCGAGCAACCACTTCTAGTTTCTCCGCTGGAGTAAATGCCTGTTACACTGACCACCTCGGCATAAAGGCCAGATTGCCTTGCGGTCCGATGGCATTCACTGGTCCTTTCTCTTTATCGAGAGTTGCCAGACATTTATATATGTGTATAAATAACAGTGATGATCGTTGCTTCTTTCTTTCTTTTTCTATCTTTCTTTTTTTCTTTTTCAGTCTAGGTGTAACCTTCAAAGGCAATCAGGCAGATTTATAAATCCATATTTTTTACAAAACTACAAATAATTTTTGAAAATGTACAAGTCAGGATTATGCATAAATACATCTTGCACACACACACACATATATACACAGACAAACAAAAAGATAAAGAGAGGAGTGGAGAGGCAGAGAGGGGAGAGAGAGAGAGAGAGAGAGAGAGAGAGAGAGAGAGAGAGAGAGAGAGAGAGAGAGAGAGAGAGAGAGAGAGAGAGACATACGCAAACACACAGACAGAGGAAGAGGCAAATACACAGAGAAAAAAAGAGAGAGGGAATGTATATGTGAGCTATAATTACGTACCAAAGGACTCCATGCAAAATATAAAACATCTATTCCTAGTTGTTTTCCCACAATTTGCAGGGTTTCTGCCATTTACAGCACACATGTTCTATTTACCTCCACAATGTATATCCGGATGTTTTATATTACATGCACATGTCGAGAGAGAGAGAGAGAGAGAGAGAGAGAGGGAGAGAGAGAGAGAGAGAGAGAGAGAGAGAGAGAGAGAGAGAGAAAGAGAGAGAGAGAGAGAGAGAGAGAGAGAGAGAGAGAGAGAGAGAGAGAGAGAGAGAGAGAGAGAGAGAGAGAGAGAGAGAGAGACTGGACGAAAAAGATAATTAAAATAAAAGAATAGACTGAAAAAATCATGCAATAAACGTAGAGAACAGAAATGGGAGAAGAGCGACAAAATAGTAGAAGTAGAACAGAATAAAACGGAAATGAAATAAAAGAAAAAAAAACGAAACGAGGTCAAGCAGAATAAGAATCAAAACAAACACAATAATTATGAAACACAAAACAAGGAACGAAAGATCAACATATAATATAAGGAAGCGACTAAACAGAAGAACAAAAATACAGCAAGAACACGAATGAAACCTAGAGAAGGTGAAGAACGAAGGTAGTTAAACAAAAGGAAGCGAAAAGAAATAAAGGAAAACGAGAGGAGAATAAAGACAGAAAAAAAATAGAAACAGAAGAACAAATGTAAAATAAGGACATGGAATAAAGATAAAAAATAGAAACAGAAGAACAAATATAAAATAAGGACAGGGAATAAAGAAAAAAACATATAAACAGAAGAACAAATGTAAAATAGGGACAAGGAATAAAGATTAAAAATATAAACAGAAGAACATATGTAAAATAGAGACATAGAATAAAGAAAAGATAGAAACAGAGAAACAAATATAAAATAGGGACATGAAATAAGAACAAACAAATAGAAACAAAAGAACAAATGTAAGATAGGAACATGGAATAAAAATAAAAAAAAAACAGAGAGAGAAATACAAAATTAAAATCGTGACATGGAATAAAACAGAGAACTGAGAAGAAGGAATAATGCCAAAATAAGAACACAAAAAGAAGAGAAAGAATACATATAACACAACAACTACGAGACAATAACACGAAATTAAACATAGAGAATAGAAAGAGGAAACAAATGTAAAAATAAATAAATAAATAAATAAATAAATAAAAGGACACGAAATTAATACACATAGATGTGAGATAACGTAACATAAATAAAACATGATATGACCTTATATGATGCACACGAAGTTGCTCACCGTGACCTTCCCCCTCCCCCCCTCCCCCCACCTCTTGCACCTTCCCTTCGTATCCCTTACCCCCCCTCCCCCCCGACGCCCTACATTACCCTCCCCTCCCCCCTCCCCCTCCCCACCTCTTGTACCTTCCCTTCGTATCCTTACCCCCCCCCCCCCGACGCCTACACTACCCTCCCCTCCCCCTCTCCCCTCCCCACCTCTTGTACCTTCCCTTCGTATCCCTTACCCCTCCCCCCCCCCACCCCGACGCCTACATTACCCTCCCCTCCCCCCCTCCCCCCCATCGCACGCCCTTATTTTCCCCTCTTCTCCTTTTACGTTTCTCCTCCTTTACTTTCACGAGTCTTATTTCGCGTTTCTCTGCCTCCGTCTTGCTGACCTTGACTTTGTTGTATTTATAAGTTGGAAAGTCACAAATATAGACATGCGGATGCTTTCGTATACTTACAAGCGTGTTTATG